AAAAACACATGGACTTTTTACCCAACCCAGTAACTTAAAGGCTGACAACTAAGAAGATACTGAAAAAACTAAAAACCAGTTGTAAAAACTCAGTCTTAGGTCATATTCAGAGGCACAAATGACTAAAGGAAGTTTGTAATAAACACACCAAGGACCTAACTACACAACCAAAAAACCACTGTACCTAATGAACCTGAGTTGTTGAGAGTTACCATTTTATTCACATGAGTATTATTAAAAACATGGAGAAGTACGTAATATCTAACAAAAATTGGTTAAATTTTTATGTGTAGATTTAAAGTGTGAAATTCACTTAAGTGACACATTATGTTTCCCATTAAGTCATCGATATCAAGTTTATGAGATTTCTTCTTCCAAAAGTTTAACAGATGTTAAAGACAACATGTGTATTGAAAGTAGCAATTTTATTTGAGTTAAAATTATTTACAAAAACCCAAAGACATACTTCATGAAACTGGTACAAACTATTTTTTCCTGCCGTTGGCTTTTGCTCCAAAGATCACAGCTGAGAAATACTGTATAAAATAAAAATAAGATTAAATTCAGAAAAGTACTCTACTGTTCTAATTTCCAACTGGTAGTATTTACAGAAATATTTACAATGGAAAAAACATTACTTTAAAACTTTAATTTGTTAAGTCAGCCTCAAGTACCCTAAAATGCAGAGTTCTCTGAGGGTTAAACACACAAATGCACTGCAGTTCGGTGAGGTGATTTCTCCCCCACCTTGCCCCACCAAAATCTACATCTCTATCAGTGCTTGACAATTAGTTATTATTTAAATAACAAAACAAAAAACTGTTAAACACTGAGGTAAATCAATTCTCAAATGATTACCAGTGTAACAGAAAAAAATGTAGTTCGCCCTGATTGTTCTCATCCAAATGTTTTATATTTCTTACCACCTGTCACAAGTCAGTTTTACCAACAATCTGTTCCTTTTCTTAAATCAATGATTAATAAATATCAATGTATTTTAAAATTAAACAAAACATATCTAATGCAATTTTAAGGATATAATTTACTGATAAGCTTTTAAAATACCTGGCTAGGCTAGCTTTTATACTCAGGGCAAATACAACCTCAGTCTTTCCCAAGTTACACTGGCATACTATGCTCTCAAAAGGTGATGGGTGGGGTCAGAGTAGGTAGGAGGAAGAAGAAAATAATTTGCCTGCAACCAGTTACTTCCTTATAGATTTCCCAACAATCTGCATTATCAAAAATAGGAAGACATTAGAAGGCAGCCACTGCATTAAAAAACATTACAGCTGGCACTGATACAAGAGCCCCGATTTGTCACTTTATACAAGGAAATAACAAAGTCTAAATAAGTAAAAATTAGACTTTTAGCTATTTTCCCCAGTACACACCAAACTAATATTTTTATGGCTTCAAGTTTTACAAATCCAATAAAGAAACATGACATAACTATCTGAAAGGTATTTAAAAATATTAAAGAAATACATATCTGGAACGCCTGTGTTCAGGCCCAATCAATTTTAAGATTAAATGTATAACCAGTGGTCTGAAAAATAATACAAGAAAAATTTGCAATGTTGTGAAATTAAATGTTTTGTGTTTCATGACTATTTTCCAAACAACACACTGCTCTGTGAACTAAGAATCTGAATGGAAAAAAAAAAAAAAAAAAAAAGGATCTTTTCTACACCAGCAATTTAAGGCTTTGCGTTTATGCATTTGATCCTGTCACTCTACAGAAGAATATACACATTGTCTGGAAACATGAATTCCACATTGGTGTTTTAGCTTTCTTATAATTTACTGTATTGAACATTAGAAAATATATCTAGAGAGTCCTCCAATAAAACTTAGTAATGTTTCAAGAGCCTCCCCTAACATTAAGTGTAAACTACCCTGGGTTTGTCTATTTTGCTTCATCCTTTAACAGGGCACATCTTCTTATATAATAGTCCCTTAAGCTGTTATTTGTTTTCTTGCATCTATAGTTATGACTTATTATGATAATATAATGAACATGGTCATGGTCTCTAAAAGTGAAAAAGTTTGACAACCCAAATCAAATCAAAAATAAAAAATATGCTATTCATCCCTTGTGTCTTTGGATTCCATCTAATTTTAAATATAGACAGTAGTTCAGGGAACAACAAGAAAAATAATTCACAAAATTATTAGAAGCTTTATTTACGATTGGAATCATTCAACAAAATAGCAAAAGCAAATGAGCCTGAAAAAAGGAACTAAGCTGTTGTCTAGAATGTCCACAGAACATTCGATACCTCAGTAGCTAAGCTGCCTTTGCACCTGGCTGGCATGACAACAGTGGCTCAACATACACAGCAGTTGCACTAACAGCAGCACAAATTTCCCCCTTAAAACTTGCCCAGACTAAAGCAAGAAAACAAGGGGATAGTATAAACTCTGCCAAAGTAAGTGTAATTAAATACTGCATGGAATTAACAGCCTGAACCTTTTCCCTCATTTTTGATAGCTGCAGATTGATGTAGTAACTGTCATTTAGCAAATGCAGAATGCATGACGAAGAAATCAGGAGGCCTTAAAAATCCAAATGTGAATGATACTGATGAATGTTCTTGGTATATCTTCAAGGACTTCTTTCATGACTTTTCTTTGTCTAAGAATAGCTCCAGCATTACCAAGCACCTGAAGCAAAGGTAAAGCAGCTAGCAATGTTCCAAGTATTCAATCACTCTAGAGATAGATTTCTGGCCTGTGGTTCCAACAGCACACTGAAAGGGGGAGGGTGGGGTGGACAGAGAGGAAGTAACAGTTAATATTTTACAAATTTTTTAAAAGTATTACATCAAAGCATAAATCCTTTAGTTTTACTAACTGAACACTATGAATCAAAACACACTGAGATTAAACTGTGGCTTGATAATATAGTTATCAATATATTTGGCCATAATACTTAACAATTATCTTAAAAAAAAATAGAGCATACTTATTAAAAGAAGATCCCCTTTGCCTTCCACTCAATGGCCATAGTATTTTTATTTCTGTCATTAATGTATCATACTTATATATAAAGCCATAGAAGTTGCAATAAAAGTTACTTACAGTAAGATTCATGAAGCTCAGGAATTTTTTGAGCATCTCTGTCATTATTGAAAAGTCCCCTTCAGGAAGATACTCCCTCACAGTGGTCACATTAATCTGCGGAAACATCAAAGAAATAGTGGCAGAAAACACGAGCTTGATCTTGCACTGTGTTGGTAGTTTTGGCACACATTCTGTTCCAAACTTCTGCAGGGTCCCTGAAACTCCTTGGTTAACATACAGTTTCCTTTTTCCATACTCCCTAACTGTGCCTGCATGTGTGCATGTGTGTCCTCATTACCTAGCCCATCCTATCTACAGAAGGGAAAAAGGTAAAGCTGTCAAGGCCATAAAAGAAAATTGTGTGTGCATTTTTACTTCTGTAAATACACAGGAAAGTGCCTAAAAGAAAATGTGCTGTTGAGTGTGTATATTTATGTGTATGTTACAGGGGAGTGGTGTTAGGAGAGGAGGAGGAAGGAATGCAGATTTAAAAAGTTACAATTCAGAATGTACTCAAGGGCTGCTTATGAAATAGAAAGAAAAAGATCAAAGAACATTTCTCACATTCCACAGGTGAAGCCAACTAATTACGTAGGTTAGGAATGAACTAGATCTTTCCAATAAATCTAGTGTAATCCAGGAGGAGAATGCCATCAAAAAAGGAGAGATTAAGGTATTTCCCTACATTGTTAGCCAGAGGCAGCCAAACTATATATAAACCAATCTGTTTTGAGAAAAATATACAACCTGCTTTAAAAACTGTTCTATTTTGCCTTTTGGCTCTCTGAGCAGCATCATAGCAGTTGGTAAAAACAAGCGCCTTACAAAAGGTAGCAAAAAGGGAGCCAAGAACAAAGTGGGTGATCCATTTTCTAAGAAAGACTGGTATGATGTAAAAACATGAGCTATGTTCAATGGAAAAAACAGTGGAAAAACCGACTCAAGGAACCAACATCGTATCTGATAGTCTCAAGGGTCGTGTTTTTGAAGGAAGCCTAACTGATTTACAGAATGAGGAAGTTGCATTTAAAAAATTCAAGCTAATTACTGAGGATGTTCTGGGCAAAAACTGTCTAATTTCTATGGATTTTACCGGAGACAAAATGTGCTCCACAGTCAAAAAACGACATAACATGATTGAAGCTTATGTTGATGTCAAGAATTACTGATGGTTATTTGCTTCATCTAATTCTGTAGGTTTTACTAAAAAAACAAAACAATCAGACTTGGAGGATCTCTTATTCTCAATTATAGACAGGTCTGCTAAATCTGGAGACAATGACAGAAATCATGACCGAGATTGCAAACAAATGACTTGGAAGAAGTGGTCAATAAATTGATCCCAGACAACATTGGAAAACATAAAGAAAAGGCTTGCCTCTATTTATCTGTTCCATGATGTCACTGTTAGAAAAGTCAAAATGCTGAAGAAACCCAAGCTTGAACTGGGAAAACTCAGGTTAGCAGTTCTGGAAAAGTTACTAGGGGACATAGATTTTGAAGTTGAATGAGCTGATGGATATAAACTCTCAGTCCAAGGATCTGTTTAACATTCAAACTTAATGGTGACAAACAAAAAATCTTATTTGTGGGGAAATAAACTATTTCAGTATATCTTTAAAATGCTTTAAAAGTTCATAAAGAATAAAAGGAAAGGCTCTTTTAAAAAGGTTCACCTGTAATAAAAAACACAAAAGAAACATGTTGTCCTGAGGTTGAGGGTGAGGGATGGGCAGGGGCAAGAGTTCTTCTGATTTGAGTTTTGTTGATGGGGGCATGGAAGGAGAAACTACAATTACTCTCTTTCAGGAAATCTGCCATGAGTCCCCTCTCCCGTTTTTTATTCTTGTCTGGGTACTTTTGAAATTATAAAGAGCAAAATATTGGTACAAATACAGTTTCGAAAAGATTTAATAAAAAATGTTGCTGAAACAGTGCTCACTTCGGCAGTACATACACTGAAATTGGAACAATACAGAGAACATTAGCATGGCCCCAGTGCAAGAATGACTAATTCATGAACCATTCCATATTTTTGAAAACAGGGGAAGGGTCGTCAAGGAACAAATATAAGGACCCACTGACAAAGCCAAAGGGGGTAGAATCAAGGGTGGGAGGCGAGGATGGGTGGAGCAAGGGGAGAGGTGGGGGGAAATGGAGATGACTGTACTTGAACAATTAAAAAATAAAGTTGCTAAAATCACCGTATGCTAAGATATGTGATATCAATCACCCATATTCTAGCCTCCCCACCAAAAGCCACCATAGGTCCCCCTAGCACAAACCTTGTAGCTAAAACACTTAAGAGATTTTACAAAATGTTTTAAAAATACACTGAAGTGGAGGATGTAAGAGTAATGGCCATGGTAAAGCTGGATTTAAGAATGTCTTTGACAGAGCCCTGGCTGGTTGTAGCTCAGTGGATTAAGCGCGGGCCTATGAGCAAAAGTGTCGCTGGTTCAATTCCCACCTGGGGCACACACCTGGGTTGTGGGCCAGGTTGTGCGAGAGGCAACCACACATTAATGTTTCTCTCCCTCTCTTCCCCTCTCTAAAAATAAATAAAATCTTAAAAAGAATGTCTTTAACCATTCTCTAGAGAAAAGGTGTAACACTACAGTGACAGGAAGAGTAGTGTGGGAGGTACAAAAAGAACAGGAGGAAACAGCATGGCCTATTTGGGAAATTCAGAAAAGTATCCAAGGGGTATGACAGACTGAGGAACTGGAGAAGCAGTTTTAAGTCTGGGGTCTTATAGAAGTAAACAAAGTCATCATTCCCTAAATGACGGTGAGCCAAGAAAAATTCCTAAGAGTTAGCTATGGTGGCAGTATACTAGATTTCAGGAATGGAGAAAGTCAAGACAGCAGACCATCAAGGGAACTGACCACTGCATGTACAGGGTGGTTGGTGGGCAATGGAAAATGACACCAAGTCTCCTAGGCTTCCTAAGCATGATGTCCTTCACCATAGCATTTACTGTACATAACCCACCTGCTTTCCTGTCTCTCTTCCACTTACACTGGGCAAACCAATTTCCTTCACATTTTGTGGTATCGGCTAGCTTTTTTGGGTTACTCATAATGATTCCCAAGGCAAGAAAGACATCTGGGTTCTATGAATTCACAACATTCCCCACAACAGAGAGACCTTAACATTTCTTTAGAGACGTAAAACACACTAAAATTTAAATACTTTGCCCCTGGTTCCCTTTTTGAGATCTGCCTCTTCCTTGTTCCCTTTGTTGGAGGGCTTAGTTGAAGAGATTCACAGAAAGAAAATGAAGATTTCACAGGGCTCTCCAGAGTCATGATGAGAAATTTGCTCTTGACCCTAAAAGCAGTGGTGCCAGCAAAGGCCATAACAAAGTGCGCTACTGTGCATTTAGATCAGAGCTTGACTACAATATGAACATGGAAAAGATAAGAAAAGATTCAGAAAAATATACAGGACTTAAGACACACAGATATGGGATGGGAGGGGAAGGGTTGTAGGACAGGGGAGGCAGGGAAAAGGCAATACAGAAAACTGGACAGGAAAAATGAGAAAGTGTGGGTGGTAGATAGGCCCACAGCATGAATGTCTCTCCTAAAAAAGCCATTCATATTATTACTGTGCTTTTTTCTTCCAATCTTCCAGTCTCAGAAAACAGAAGTTAACCTTTCTACTACACAATAGACACTTTCTTGCCTCCTGAATGCCTAAAAAAAACCTTGCTTTCATTTTAAAATTTTGCTATTCTACTGGTCCTTTCCTTCTAAAAAGAAAAAAAAAAGGCAAAACAACTGAACCCCCAACCCCATGAGTTCCCCATTTTAAAGCAGACTCTACCTAAGCCAGAACCATCCACTTCTGTGCTCTCTCAGCACTGTACTGACTAGACATTCACACTTCTTGTAGTTAAATCACAATGATCTAAATATCATATGGTAGCCCCATTTTCTTAGTCAGTGAGTACTTCAAACAAAAGCATGTGAGTCAATACTGGCCAAGATGAGGGGAAGTCTACTTGCTGTGGTGGGTGGGAATGGGTCCTATAGGGGAAAAAAGCATTATTCTGAAAAAGAAATATAAAGAGGCCACCATTTTCTGCTAGATATACCTAGAGCCAGCACAGAACCATGAGGGCAACTAGCAAAGGAAAAGTAGAGTTAAAAGTCAGAAATTATCTGAGTCCCTGGTATCACTGAGACTAGACTTTTCCATCTTAAACCAGCTGAGCATAGGTTTTACATTATGCTCTTCTTTTATTTCAACCTAAGGGATGTGAATCGATTCATCATCCATTAGTCAAGAATGTTCTCATTAAACACAATATACTCTTACTCTGGAATGTATCTTTAAAAGTTCACCCAAATTCAAAATAGTCACAAGAATTTAAGGTACAGCATAGGAAATACAGTCAATAATACTGTAATAACTATGGTAGCACCAAGTGGGTATTAGAAATATAGAACACATAAAGTACATATGACTATCTAAGTACTATTTTGTGTACCTGAAATTAGTACAAAATAATAATGAATGTAAACTGTAAATGAACAAAGTGTAAAAAAGTTCACGAAATATCTAAAAGTTATCTTTAAAATTTTTTATTTATTTTAGATAGAGGAAAGAGAGGGAGAGGAACATTCATCGGTTGCTTCTCACACACCCTCAACTAGAAACCTGGCCTGCAACACAAGCATGTGCCCTGACTGGGAATCAAACTGGCAACCTTGCAGTTTGCAAGACAATGCCCAATCAACTGAGACACACCAGTCAAAGTAATAAATAAGTTAATTAGATAATGGTATGAAGCTGTCACAACAGAACCTTTTTTAGGGCACATAAAACACTGAACTATTACTTACTGGACTCTCCTGGCAGAGACACCCAAGAAGCAGTGCTGTATATGAGGCCACAATGCAATCCTCCATGTGTTTGCCAGCATGCTGAAGGGCTAAGAAAAAACAAAAAAAATGTTAACAGTATATCAGAAAATAAAAACTCAAGAAACCAGCAAGTCTGTTCAACTGTTAGTTACCCTTTCTTCAAAAACGTTGAATACTGATAAATGATACTAAGATAATGGGATATCCACACAAATGAACAACAAAAAAAACTTCATATGGAAGATATGAGATAATGGAAGATAATATAAGAGCTAAAACCATAAAACTCTTAGAAAAAAACATAATGTTTGTGACATTGTTAGGAAATGGTTTCTTAGATACAACACTAAAACCACAAATGACAAAATTAAAAAAACAGGTAAATTGAACTTCATTAAATTTAAAACTTTTTATTTCAAAAGATATCATATACCATCAAGAAACAGAGAAGACAACCCTTAGAATATATCTGCATATCATGTACCTGTAATCAGGGCCAGGTATCCAAATATAATAAAGAATGTGTGCAGCAAAAAGACAAACTAATATAAAGTATGGGGATTTGAATAGATATTTCTGCAAAGATAAGTAAATGACCACTAAGCAAGTGAAAAGATGCTCAACACCATTTATTAACTAGGGAACTGCAAATCAAGTGACATATACCTTCATACCAACTAAGATGGCTAAAATGAAAGAAACAAATAACTGGAAGGATGCAGAGAAACTGGAACCCTTACGTGTTGCTGATAGGAAATTAAACTGGCACAGCCACTTTGGAAAACAGTTTGACAGTTGTACATGAAATGTTCATAGCAGCATTATTCCTAACAACCAAAGGTAGACACAAACCCAAATGTCTATCAGCTGATGACTAGATAAACAAAATGTGATATATACATACAATGGAATATCTGGCTACAAAAATGAAATTAAGTACTGAGACATGCTATAACATGGATGAACAATGAAAACATTAGGCTAAGTCAAAGAGGCCAGTCAAAAAGGGTCATATTGTATTATTCTATTTATATGAAATGTCCAGAATAGGCAAATCCAGAGACAGAAGTAGATCAGTAGTTTCTAGTGGCTAAGGAGGGAAGAACAAGAGATAACTGTTGTTCATGGGTACAGGGTTTCTTCTGGGAGTGATGAAAATGTTTTGAAATTAAACAGCGATGATGACTGCACAACTTTGTGACTATATTGATAACTACTCAATTGTTTACTTTAAAAGGATGGATTTATCTTATATGGGGCTGAACTGTATCCCCCACCCAATTTATGTGTTGATCTCAGGTTATGACTACACTAGGACATGGGGTGTTTCATTAAAAAGACAGCTAACTTCAATGAGGCTGTTAGGGCAGGCCCTAATCTAATATTAACTACTGTCCACATAAGAAATTAGGACACTCACAGAGGAAAGACCATGTGAAAACACAGGGGATTCTGATCATCTACTAACCAAAAAGAGAGGCTTTAGAAGATATCAACCGTGATGACACCTTGATGTTGGACTTAAAACCTCCAGAACTATGAGGAAATTAATTCTATTGTTTAAGCCACTCAGTCTAAGGTGTTTTGCTAAGGTAGCCCTCACAAACTAATACTTATCTCCCAAAAAAGCTATTGTTTAAAAAGGATGCTAAGCAACCAAAAATATTATGCCAAAAGAAATATCAAAACTTAGTAAATGAGAAAATAAAACAGATTTATTACAATACCAGAACTAATGACATTAGATTTGGAGAGCGGTGGGCATGAGAGAGAGACTGAGAAGCACTGTTGGTACTTGCTTCCTAACTGGATAAAAATGAACATATTATTTAAATTTTCTAACTTACATAACATGAGATTACAAGTGGCTATTTTGTAGAACTTGCATAAATCAAGTATCACAATTCCTGAAAACAGTAGGTAATGTTTGGTTAATGAAAGCATTACCTTCAGTATATCCCTTACTGTGTTTGCTACCAACTATGTATACACCATTTGAGAAGGATGATTTTTTGACAGATCTCAGTTTATAAAATGAGGCCAATAAAAGAATCTCAAAATTTCAAAACTGTAAAATCCTTTAGAGGGCAAACTGGCTGCTTCTCTTTACAGGTAAGTAGGTTGGTCCAGGAAGGAAAGAAGGACCTTTCTGGAACTGCACAT